AGGGGGGGGGGCAAAAGAAAAGAAAATCAATGCCCTCTGCAGTGCCCAAAGTTTGGCGTGGGATGAGCAGTTATTCAGATGGACGGCTACTTCTGTATTGTTCAAACAGTTGGAACAGAACTTTAGGAAAATCGAACGTGTAAAGTAGAAAGATTATCTTGCCACTTCATCAGTATAACGTCCAGTTGGCCTAACTCACTGCGATGGGTTTTTCAATTCCTGAAGCGTGAGGGGAAGGGATGATAACTGAATTGAATCGAAAAAAGAGGAGGAAGAAGAAGATACTCCTGAAGATCAGATTGAGGTTACTTTAACATAAAATGACCCTGATTTCCACTCTAAATTGTATTTTTTTAAACCAGAACGCCCCCATATGATCACACAAAATGAACTGAAGGACCATGCCAAGGATATTTAGTGCTGGCAAAACGCAAAGCATAGCTGTTAAGCCCAAGACTCCCATCAATGGAATGTGTTTGCTTACAGTGTGGGAGGGAGCACATTCAAAATTCTTGACTTGGATCTTCGTCTTCGTTTATACCATGAAGGGCGGTATCTGGTTGCATATAACGATGTGGTGGAATAATGCGCTCGTCAATTTTTGGGCATGTGGAGTTTTTGGTATTATTTGTATAAGCTTATTCATTTGCCTTTCTTTCAATGAAAATAAATACCTATCTAACTTGATTAGAAGTCGAGATATTTGCGATTTGAGGATGTGGGGTCGTCTTGTTTCAGAGGTAAAATTAGCGAGAAAATGACCACCAAAGTTCGGTAATTTCAATAGCTTGAAAGTCCTTGAAAACTGAAAAATTACAAATTGTGTGTCTTTAATCAACGTTTTTGAGTCAAATTCACATGGTAATGTTGTTTTTTTTAAAATACGGACACAAAAGGTGTTGAGACAAAATAATAAATTCGAAAAAAATTGCCAACCAGTTGGAAATATGGCGGTTTCTTCGATTTCCTTATTTTGACGAGCGCCTGGTTTCACCACGATGCCTCACATATAACGACATGGATGGTCTTATGAAAGTGGCGGGGTGAGTGTTGGACGTGTGTGTGTG